CACTGTATAATTAAAAACAAACTGCTGTTGCTGAACTATTGTGTCTCTTAGTAAAGTGATTGATTTTTAGATAGCATTTCGTTAGTATTAAGAATTCTTTAAAAAAAAAAAAAAGCCTGCTTCTATTTATGGCAACATGGAGGATTAAGTGCCTACTGATAATAGTTCAGCTAAACATGCTAGATGATACATTACACACACATTTGTGTATATTACATCTTATATATACACATCCTAAAACACATATAAGTGTTTTTAGTAAATAGTTGCTGGTGGGAGAGTAAAGGAATTTTTCTGAGGCCTGCGTCAGTTAGTGCCGTAGATCCATTGTGGTCATTGAAAGTATCTGCTGGTTCCTGGTGGCATAGACCCTGAGTTTTGATAGGCAGTGAACATGGGGCACAGAGCTAAAGGCCGAGGCCAGAGAGGAGGTCATAAGAGGCATGTGGATAACGTAAGGACTCCCAGACAGTGACAGCATCCTCCCCACGGGAGCTATTAAAAAGAATTCTTAAACACAGGACCACACTCACACTGGTCTGGAGCCAGAATTCATACTATTTGGGTTAGGAAGGAAAAGGGGGAAAAAAAAGCTTGAGGCTAAAGTGTGTTGGTAGTGAACCCAGCATAGGTAAACATATATCTTCTCCGGAGGAACTCTCCTTAAACAAAGGCTCAAAGATTCCCCTCAGATGGAGTCCCAAGGACATGACCTCATTCTGATATAAATGAACTTATGAGGAAACAAGCTACCCTAAGTGACAGCAAATACAACAAATTACATAAACTCTCAGAGGTTACAGATATTAGAATTACCAGGTGTAGACTAAAATAAGAGCAGATAGAAAGTATGATGTGGGATGAAGAGAACTGAAGTTGGCCAAGCAGGTTTGGAACAGAACCAAAGGGATCTGTAAATGATACATATATGATAATTTAAAATTTACAGCATAACATATTGATTAAGCAGATTAGATACAGTGAAAGGGATGACAAAATGAAAGCTACACCTAAAGAGACTGAGATTAAAAATAGAGAAGAAAGGTTAAGAGATCTGGAGGAATAGAAAGCAAAGGTCTTACATGCTGAATTAGCCTCCCACAGAAAGCTACTAGGATGGAGGATGGCCAGTATGCAAAGTAATGGCTGAGGACTTTTACCAAGTGGCGAGTCCTCAGATAGAAGCCAACGAACACTAAACTAGATCAATAAAAAGAAATCCTAGTGCTAGATGCATGACAGTAAAACCGGAATATTGATAGGCGGCAGGAGGAGAGGAAGCAGTTAGAGAAAAGACAGATAACCCAGAAGGAACTGGCTGACAGATGGCTTGTATTTTAACAGCAAAAGCAGAAGCAAGAAGATAGTGCAATGATAGCCTCAAAGCGATGAGAGAAAAAGTCATCAATTTAGAATTCTGTACTCAGGAAAACCATCAGTCAAGAATGAATGCAGGCTGGGCACGGTGGCTCATGCCTGTAAATCCCAGCACTTTGGGAGGCCAAGGCAGGCAGGTCACTTGAGGTCAGGAGTTCGAGGCCATCCAGGCCAACATGTTGAAAACCCATCTCTACTAAAAATACAAAAATTAGCCAGGCATGGTGGCACATGCCTGTAATTCCTGCCACTCGGGAGGCTAGGTAGGAGAACTGCCTGAACCTAGGAGGAGGAGGTTGCAGTGAGTTGAGATCGTGCCTGTGCACTCCAACCTGGGTGACAGAGTGAGACTCTGTCTCAATTAAAAAAAGAATGAATGCAAAATAAAGATACTTCATACTAGAACAGCTAAAGGTATAACTGTTTTGTGTTTTTTAACTTTGGAGAGTAGGGAGGAGGAAAGGAAGAAAGTCAGATGGTGAGAAGAGAGCAGAGAGGTGATCAGCTGGGTTGTGATTTAACCTCCTTCTGAGCCCCACAATACAAAATTAAGAAATGCTTTATAGGAATTGATTGCTTTTGATGTTGATAAAGACTGGATTTGATTGTGTCTTTGCAATTTATGAGGCCGAACATGGATGTGGATGTTGGAGCAAAGAGATATAAGAATGCTCAGTTGAGAGAACTGACAGGCATGAGGGGCAAGAGGGTGCAGGTGGATTGCTATGAATGCTCTCAAGGCCATGATATTGGGGTTCAGGCCAAGTTTAACTGGCTCTGAGAAAGGGGGTGACCTGGCTGACAAATGTGAGGAAAAAAATCATAAAGCTGCCATTTGAAATAGAATCCTAGGCCAGGTGCAGTGGCTCACACCTATAATCCCAGCACTTTGGGAGGCCAAGGCGAGCAGATCACCTAAGATCCCGGAGTTCGAGACCAGCCTGGTCAACATGGCAAAACCCCATCTCTACTAAAAACATAAAAATTAGCCGGGCCTGGTAGTGCAGCTACTCAGGAGGCTTAGACAGGATAATCACTTGAACCCAGGAGGCGGAGGTTGCAGTGAGCCAAGACCGCACCACTGCACCCTAGCCTAGATGATAGAGTGTGACTCCATCTCAAAAAATAAACAGAACCCCATTCACAGTGAGTTACGTAGTCAAAACCAGTTTGCTTACTAACTGAAGCTTGTTTATTGTAGACTGCACCTCAGAGTCAGTGAAAATAGCATTTCAAAATATATTTTTCTCTCTGTAAATTTTCTTCCTGAGATTTTCCTAAGATTTGGTTGGAAAGCTGGCTCACATTATTACTGTACTGTACCTGCCTTCATCAGAGAGGCTATAATGAAGTGAGATGGTAGTATAGGATTGGTTAAAATCTAGAATTGGTTAAATTGTAAGGGCAGAGTTCTGAGGCCAGGGCTATAGTCTTAAACATTTCAGTGAGGTCACTGTGATGAAAACAAACTGCATTTGAGGCCAGGCATGGGAATATATGGCTCACACCTGTATTCCCAGCACTTTGGGAGGACAAGGCTGATGGATCGCATGATGTCAGGAGTTCAAGACCGGCCTGGCCAACATGGTGAAACCCCGTCTCTACTAAAAATGCAAAAATTAGCTGGGCTTGGAGGTACACACCTGTAATCCCTGCTATTTGGGAGGCAGAGGCAGAAGAATTGCTTGAACCTAGGAGGCAAAGGGTGCAGTGAGCCAAGAATGCGCTACTACACTCCAGCCTGGGCAACAGAGTGAGACTCCATTCTCCCCCCACCACTGCCTGCCCCCAAAAAAGCATTTGGGCTACCCCTTGGGTTTTATTAAACCACCCATACAGGTATATAGTCCATTTGTGCATTCTGGTCATAATGAGATACACTTAAGAGGTGTATCTCCTAGAGACTCCAATAAAGAGTTAGATTTATATGGAATATGAATAATTAGAATTTCCGTTTTTGTGTGCATTATTCTGTTTGCTTTTTAATAGAAATAGAAGTCCGTATTACCATGATCTGTTGTGTAAATTACCATAGATAAAGACGTAGACACTGAGATTGAATAGAATTACCTCTTTGTTTTTAATCACTGTCACAGTCATAGCCAGATTTCTTCACAAATTCTATACTGAATAAAATATCTGTTTTTGTATTCAGTGTAAAAAATGGAAACCAATGAATGAAATCACCTTATGGATGATTCAGAGCTGTTTAAAACTATTACATTAGTTTGCAGTTTATGATTTTGTAGCACTGTGTAAAGGATTTAGTGAAACCTCACTCGCTTGGCTTTGAGAATATTTCTGGGATCATGGTTATGTTGGCTTGATGGGGTCTGATAATCCTTGAAATTGGCTTTTATTAACTTGTAGGCTCTTCAATAAAACATTGAAACTATAAATTGTGCAGTGCTCTGCTCTAATTATCTGATTTAAAATTACTGTTTGTATTGATCCATTCTGTATGGTCATATAGCAAGGCTAAAAAGTGATTTATTTTTCTCCCTTTACATAGACTAAACCCAGAGTAATTATTGGGTTTAATTACATAATTCCTGCTTGGCACAGGAAATTAAGAGAATTTGCTTTCTTAGGCATATATCTGATTTAGAAAAAGGCAATCAAAATTCTTGGTAGAATCATCATCAGTGTATACACTTAAGTAATCCTTACTTTTGCACCCACTGGCAGCTGCTGAACATACACACGTGACTTTCTGATATGTGTGTTAGGTGGTTTTTCTCCTGTCTGAATCCAGGGAACCAACATCTCCCTTAAATTCCATTTGAATAAGGCAGAGTGTAATAAGTAAATTACTTTAGAGCCTGTCCCTCTTGTTTTTGTTTTTATTCTTATGCAGGGAATAGCAGTCGGGAGATGTATTCTAGCTATTTGCATGAGCATCTTTTTGTGGCTTACTTTTACTGTGCTTGATGTGCTTGTCTCTTCTGCATCAGTGGCTAATTCTGGATAAGCAAAACTTAGAAGTTGAATGTTAGTGAGCTCTATTTTTCTTTTCTCAGAAGTGCTATAAAATTTTGTAAGCATTCTGTCATTTTTAGGTGAGGAAGATGATAACTCAGATGTTTATAGACGCTAACACCGAAAGAAACAAACGCACTCAATCTGGTGGGAAATGTAAGGCAAGATGTGTGCCCATTTAAAACACTAAAATATTAATATGGATGGAAAAAAGCAATCAACTTCTGAGTATTCCCAAGGAGGTATTACATTACTCAGGGACTAACCCTGCAAGTGGAAAATAAAACTTAAATCATGGTCACATAAGTGCATATGTAACAGTCAAGGCCATTTGTGCCAGTTATGACTTGTCAAGTGTCATTCCTCTAACATCTTAGAAACACTTGGCAAGTTTATTCTCATGACACATTACCCATCCTGAAAGTTTCAATAAAATGATACTACATAGAAATCTGAGCTCAGATCCTTCTTGCACTGTTTAATGTTCCTGTCCTAATTGTCCTCCTGCTCCACCCTTCTAATTTCTCAAGATGGAGGGAGGCAGTTGTGTACATTCTGAAGCTAAGGAGAAGATTTATGAAATCAAGAATACTTTTGGCTCCTAAGAGAAAAAAGTAACATTTGTCTTCTTCTTCTTCTTCTAGGTTGTCCTTCTACTCAGGCCACTCTTCGTTCTCCATGTACTGCATGCTGTTTGTGGCAGTAAGTACTTTGTGTATATTGATGGTTAGGTTCTGTGCTGCCTGGAATTAATGTGCTCAGCATCAGTGTCCTCTCCTGTCCTAATAAATTAGCCAGTGGCAAAAGGTAAAGCAGGTAATCTGCAAATCTGTAAGTTTCATGCTAAGAATTAGTTGATGTGTGCGCTTACTTCGGGATGTTTCCTGAAGTAGTTTTCTGGAACACACAGCTTCTGTGTAATCACAGCAGGTCACTAATCTGAAGGACTGGGCCAAGGGGCTGCTGTTGCTTGTTAACCTCCTCCCTAACTGGGAGCCCCTCCCCTATCTGCTCAGTGTGGGTGAATAGCAGCAGAGCTGCTTTCCTCCTGGGCTCTGCTGTGGTGAGGAGTTCACTTTTGATCGTTAGCTGTCCTTGTTCCTATTTGAGCAGATTTTGTTTTCCTTTCATTTTCTAAAACATTCCCAGACTGCTCTGCAAGGGACCAGAAGGGTTTTTCAACTTCTGGGAAAGGCAGTTGCCACTTCTGGAGCCTGTCACCTATACAACTTCCAGGTCTAATTCTGATGCCAGCCTGCAAAGCAGCAGCATAGCAATTTGCACTTGCATCATACCACGCTGGCAGTGAGAACTTAGGAAGATTTCCACCCATATTTTGCATCTTAAACTAGGGATGAGCATGTAGTTTTTTGAGAGTAACTAATGCAAGAACCAGGCTTTAGGACACATTCAGGAGATTTTTAAAGGTCAATTTTATTTGATTTTAATTTTTTTATAATGTTCTCTCTTTACATATAAAGTATTATTAATAAAACACTGTATATTTGGGTGTATACAGTTGTATTCTATGTAAATTTGTGGTTTCCTGTGTTTTTCCCTTTGATCACATTAAGTATTTAATGCTTAAAGTACATGGTATATATTAAGGGAAAACTAATGGGAGTTAATTTAGTCTCAGAGAAAATTTAAAATGTTTTACTAGAATCTTGTTTTTATTTGAAAAACCAAATTCCAAACATTAAAAGAATATATAAATTGAAGATGTGTTATATAAAATTCAAATTCACAACTTCAAACCATTACAATAGCTAATTTTCAAAGTTTTCATTTTACATGAAATAAATTTAGTGAGAAAGCACAGAGTATGATTCAGCAGAATTTAGGACTTCCTTTTTAAGACACACGCTCAAATGTTTCTGCAGACACAGCATGGAAAATGTGACTTGAAGGTAGCAGCAAATACTATTCTGACATCTTCTGTTCATTTATCTTATTAGAAAAAAATTCAGCATTCTTTCTTAAGGGAGACAACATTTTTTTTTTCTTTTTAATTAGGCCACAAGGACTAGGGCAGACCAGGAAGGCTGGGCAATAGCCAGAGCCGTTACTGTCCTGAGAGCTCTTCCCAAAGCGTGGGCCCGTGACTACACTGAAGGGCATTTGAATGTGTGGACATGCTTTGCATGCCCTGGGCTACACCTCACTACCTCACTGAGTGTAACTTTTGTCTCACTAGCTTTTGTGGTTTGTTATTCGCTCACCTGCATGTGTGAGTGCCCAAGTCCCTCTTTATGAGAGACCTAGGAATCTGAGTTTTGATTGATCTTGATGATGATTTGCATTTTATACTACTTTTATTTTTGATTAAAAATTTCCATGAAGAGATGAGGGATGATTGCTACTGTTTGACAAGTGAGGGAATAGGCACCTTGGGAGGGCTGCTGAGTTCTGTGAGCTCTCAGGTCTCTTGATAATCAGGATCCCATGCCGTACTGATTGGTGACTTGGTCCGAACCTTAGTCCATTTATTTTAAAGGTCAGCTGATGCAGATCTCTGGAAGTAAAATGGCATTCTGGAAGTGACTGACACATAACTTTGACCCACTGTTTGTAATTTTAAAGAAAATTCTCAGATATAACATTCCATATTTTATCATTTTCTGCTCTTCTTTCTTGACCCTTCTCAAAACACCCGTTACATGTGTGTAACTGGTCAAATAGAAACTTGTACTGAGGGCTGTTTTGTGAGAGATTAAAATTACCATAGAGGGGATGAGATTGATGTTTAGAGGGCCTCCATGGCAAACCTGCTCTGTGGACATGCAGCCACATATGAGGGATATCAACTCGGGAAAATGATGTCAGCCATAGTAAGGTAATTGGATCAGTATGAACCATTTAGACGTGTTAAAAGAACAGCTTTAAACAAATTTAAGGGTTTCATTGAGGAAGGAAGAAACGACTCTTAAATTGGGCAGCACTCAGAATCACAGCAGACTCAGAATGACTCTAGCGCTTCTAAGTGGTCAGGGAGAATTTGTGGACAGAAAACGGAAAGTGAGTCCAGAAAATGAAGTGAGCGCAGAAACTGCTGGATTGGTTACAGCCCGGCCTTTGAGCCTTATTTGAGTGTGGTTTGAATGGCTGTGAGTGGCTGAAATATGGCTGCTGGGACTGGCTGAGACTGAGCCATTGTTACAGAAGCACACTCCTAAGTCAAGCTTGCAGTTTGCTTACCTACCAAGTTAGGCTGTACTTTGTAAAGAAGAACTCAAATATGTGAATAGGGTGTTTTCAGGCCAGATTTTAGTTTGATTTAACAGATGGAAAGTTATAATGGCCTAAAAGAAAAAAAGAAGCCTAGGTAAATAGATTTGTTATAGACCTTCCTGGAGAAGAAAGCAGGTCAAAGCAACTATACACTGCATTTTACTGACTCTAGGCAGTGGAAATATTTGCTTGATGTGGATGTAGGCCCCAGCTTTGATTTCAGCCCTGAATACACAGATGTCTCCTTGCTTTTCACATTAATGTACAACGTTTAACCTCTAAGCCCCAGCCCCAAATTCCTTGGGCAATGACTCATCTTGTTTCTCTGGGCATCTTGGCATCATGAGTCAGTCCCAGATTTGGGTGGAGATGTAGTCATTTAAATCCTCTCCAAGGATAGTCTTTGATAGCCAAAACTTCCCTTTCGATTCCTGACACCCAGAAATTAACTTCTAGTTAAAAATGTCTCTTAAAACACCCTGACCATTGTTCTTCACTGGCAGGCAGTGCAGCCCTGCACACTTAACAGTGCCAAGAGAGTAAGCATCAGTGAAAACTTCCCAGGCCTGCGGGAGCTCAGGGCAGGGCTGCTTTGCACATAGCCAGTTTATATGCTTAGTGACGCCCCATGAATTGGCTGAATGCCAGAGATTCCACATTTATTTGATTATTCAGGAGAACAGCCATGGTTTGAGTCTGTATTTTCTTTCAATACAGTGAAGAGTGCTAAAAAAACTTTTCCTGAGACCATTCTATTGAGGCTGTAACCCCAGATTATTTATATCACCGCCTGTTATGAAATTCCTCTATTTGTGCTTCAGCCAGACTCTCCTCCCTGCCATAAAACACCTCTGATCTGAGCCTTGCCCTCTGCCTTGTTTAGACAGTGCTGCCCACCTATCTAAACCCACTCAGACTCTTTCATACTATCCACATTCCTTAAGATTCATATAATCCCTCATTTAGCATTCACTGTATGCTACCTAGCATTGTTGATATTTCATGTTTTCTAAGCTTGATTATTGCTGAACATTAGACAAATGATGAACAACTCATGGCCCAGAGACTACACGAATCCTGCCTGATTTTGAGGTGGGATTCAAGATCTAAATTTAGTGCCTCCGTGAATCCCAAGAATGGTGAAATTAAAGCCCAAAGAAGACTAAACTGAGGCCTGCTTTCCAGTGTTCTGCTGGCCAAATGTGTCATCAAATGTAGGTGGAGCAATCAGTTTGGTTTGCCTGGCTGGTCATAAAAGCGCTGTTTCAAAATAAGTAGGCCAAGGTATATTTCTTTGTGTTGGGCCTGCTGTTATTAGTCTAGTTCTGGGGTTGGCAGTTTTTTTTCAGTAAAAGTTCAGATAATAAATATTTAGGCTTTGTCGATCACGTATTCTTTTTTGAAAAAAAAAAAAAAAAAAGCTCCTTAAAAATGTGAAAACTGTTTTAACTTGCAAGCTGACCCCTTGACTCTAGTTTAAAATGGAGAAAAACCCTTTTAATTTATTAACAGTAGAATATTAAGAGGCTATGAGACAATAATGACGTTTTACAGTTAAGAAGTGTTAACAAGGTTAGTCAAGGAAAGGAAAAATCAAAATAAAACAGCTTCAAAAAATATCTCATTCAACAGTTATTTTAAAGGTGAGATATTCTAGTTAGATCCTTTAATGGAAGTTAACTGTTTCAGAAATGTCAACCAAAAATGGTTATATCCTTCCTGTCTTAGTTTTGGCTGCTGTAACCAATTGTAGAAGACTGGGTGGTCTATAAAAAACAAGTTTATTTCTCAGTCTGGAAGCTGGAAATCTAAGATTAGGGTACCAGCATGGTTGGGTAATGGTGGGGCCTTCTTCCAGGTTGCAGAATGTCCTCACACAGTAGAAAGGGCAAGGGAACTCTCCTGGGTCTCTTATTAGTGCATTAATCCCTTTTCATGAGGGTTAAGCCCTTATGACCTAATCACCTACAAAAGGCCCTATTTTCCTAATACCATTGCCTTGCAGGGGGTACCGCAACCTCATCCTCCTGGGCTCCATCGATCCTCCCACCTCAGCCTCTCAAGTAGCTGGGACTACAGGCGCATGCCACCAGAGGCCTAGCATTTTTTTTTTTTTTTTTGATAGAGATGTTGCTCAGGCTCGTCTTGAACTCCTGAGCTCAGGCGATCTGCCTGCCTTGGCCTTCTAAAGTGCTGGCATTACAGGCATGAGCCACCATACCTGGGCCCTTTACTACTTTTTCTTGCCTCATTGCTCAGGGTTAGGTCTTCACTGCTATGGTGAATAGGAGGGGTCAAAGTAGCATCCTTAAGTCTTATGGGAAGGCTTTCAGCTTTTCCCCATGCAGCATGGTGTTAGTTGTATGTTGTATATAACATTTATCATGTTGAGATATGTCCCCTTCATGCCTAGCTTTTTTTTTTTTTATCATGAAGGGATGTTGAAGTTTATCACATTTTCATCATATTTG